CATTCATCCATTGAACGCTAGGATCTCTTTAGGTCAGTACATTAACTCTTCAACCAGCATCAATTTCCTTAAATATTTGGTTTCTTTCGTTTCGTGTCTTTAGCCGTTCTCCAACTTTCACTAGTTTATGTTAAAACTAAAACATTTTTGGAATTAAAAGTACGTAACTTAAAGCTACTTAGAGTTCCGTTTTTGTTCAGATGTTCAAAAGCCGTTGCTGAGTAAGTAACATTCAAACCCACCAGGATCGCAAAACGAGCAATAAACACAAGGTGACACAAAGTGCCACCATTCAAATGATAACCCCCCCCCCCCTCTCTCTCTCTCCTCCCGGGCGCAAGTCCCAGAAACCCTGTTCAACTGTTAGGTTATTTTATGGTTCCCGGCGACAGCCAGGGTGGGGGCTTTAAAATATTTTACTTTCAAAAAAAAAAAATTAGTCCAAAATTGAAAGCAATTGATGCCGTATGATGATGATGTCTTTCTTTGTTTACCTTAGCAATCAAAATTGCTACCTACGTATGTAAACTGATCTGTTACTTAAATTATTTATATCTCCGGAGTGACATCTGCTTGATCTATTACTGATTGATAGCATCAGAATATTTGTCTGTTCATCATTAGTACCGCGTCCCAATGTCGAACACAATCTGTTGCTGTTTTAAAGCCCCACCTTAGCTGTTGCCAGAGGATCTAATATAACCCAATTTATGGGTTGAACGGGGTTTCTGGGACCTGTCCCAGAGTGATCCTCATCTGAATATAGCTCGGTGTGATGTCCTGGTAACGTTGCAAGTCTGTCAGTCAGTTGTCTGTTCATGACTGACTTTTAATCCGCGACTTTGTGCTATACTTGCTAAATTATCACCCCCCCCCCCCCCCCAATTTAGGGGCATGTGAAACAACTTGAGAAGTAGCACTTTCGTCTTCACAATACAGTTACCACAGGATCAAGCAGCACAATGACATCTGCGGTTGGAGAGCCTTCATCAGCATAGGAAACAAACGGACAATGATACAATCACAAATAATAATAATAATCGTATGTAGGGGAGACAACAATGTGAATTTTAGACTATAACAGTGAGCCAGTGGTGCCCCTTGGTTTAACTATTTAACCCAGTGGCTCTCAACCTTCCTAATACCGCAACCCTTTAATACAATTCCTTATGCTGTGGTGACCCTCAACAATACAATTATTTTCGTTTCTGCTTCATAACTTTAGTGGGTATGGGTTTTCCAAAAGGGCCTTGGAGACCCCTGTGAAAGGGTCGTTTGACCCATAAAAACGTCATGACCCACAGGTTGAGAACCGCTGTTTTAGCTAAACATTTTCATTCTGGTTGTGACTGTTTATCCAGTTTCGTCCTTTTTAGGACGAATTTTTTTGTTATTTGAAGCCCCACCCTGGCTTTTGCCAGGGGCCGCAATATAGGCAGGCCATAAATATGGCCAAATGTCTGAACGCGGTTTCTGGGACCTCTCCACGGCGATCCTCATCCGCATGGTGGCACTTTGTGTCATCGGGTGTTTATCGCTTGTGTGATGTCCTGGTGGGGTAGAAAGTCAGTCAGTCAGTCAGTGACTGTTACATGTTCTCTTCATAGCAACGTGTAATTTCTCTCTTCCCTGCCCCCCCCCCCCCCTTCCCGAGTCTGGATAAGTAGAAGTCGCAGGGACCTAAGAAAATTATTCAGCTTATCAGGATTTCTATTTATCCAGCCAGTACACACGATAGAGAAAATTGCCGGGACTTAGCTGGTGTTTTGACTTAACTGAAATTTGACATCCGAGTTCGACTTAAGTGGACTCGACTGTAGATCTTTATTTGCAGCTTGCTCAATTACTTACCTTTATCCTAGTCATTACAATATCCAACTACCTATCTATCTACCTACCGACCTATTCATTCATCCAGCCACTGTCCATTCTATATTGTTTTTTTTTTAGCAATGTTAAATGTGTGAGGTGGATTTTTTCTTCCTCCCTAATGATCTCAGTTATCTCTTTCGAGCCTTCCCCACCCTCACCTCTTCCACCTGATGTTATGATGTTCATAATCTCTCTTTCTTTCCCTCTCATCTTCTGCTTTATCTGATGATTTTTCAAATCTATCCATTCTCTTTCTCCCCTTATCTTCCATCTAATGTTATGATTTTTAAAAAATCTGTCTCCTGTTTTTCTTTCTTCTTGAATCTTATATTACAATTTCTCACAAATATTGAAACTAATGTTAATGTCTACTTTTGTCCCTCCTTGTTGTTCTTTGCCGTTTCCACACAAACCATGTTTCCCTGCTACTAGATTGTCTTGGCGTGACTACCTAATGTCACATTTCACTCAACAGAATCTACACAGCATACATTTTCAGATTATTGGTGTGTTTTTTTTTTTAAATTTGTATAAACATATATGCTTTCCATCTGGCAAAACAACATCACTTTTACCAAGACAATTCTTGTTCTGATCTCTGTGAGGAATCTTGCATCAGGTGTCATGGCTGTTACAAGACAGCTGTACCATCTCACTTTTGCATGCATTTCCACATGTACTAGAATGATTGGTCAGTTGGTTCACATGTACTTGAAGAATTTGTCAGTTAGGTTCACATGTATTTGAATGATTGGTCAGTTAGTCAACATGTACTTGAAGGATTGGTCAGTTAGTCAACATGTACTTGAAGGATTGGTCAGTTGATTCACATGTACTTGAATGATTAGTCAGTTGGTCCACATGTACTAGAATGATTGGTCAGTTTACTCATGTGTACTTGAATGATTGGTCAGTTGGTCAGCATGTACCAGAACAATTGGTGGGAACACATCTAAGGCAGTTGCACAGAAATATGAATCATCAGACACATGCATATTAATTATTAACATTTGTGTCTTTTAATGTTTCAAATGCCACATTTTTGTATTCACATTCTCATTGTTGAATTCGAGCAAACATGCTTAGTGAAGCAAAAGCAAAATCCAAAGCAGAAAGGTGAGCTAGTATTTTTTAAAAAACATATTTTAGATTCAAGTTGGGAACGGTTTAATATACCCAAAAACTACGAAGGACCACCGGTTTTTAAAATGGAACTTCAAAATGCCCTTAACCACATCACATCCGACAAGCCCCAGGTGCAGAAAGAACTTCAAAATGCCCTTAACCACATCACACCCGACAAGCCCCAGGTGCAGAAAGAACTTCAAAATGCCCTTAACCACATCACATCCGACAAGCCCCAGGGGCAGAAAGAACTTCAAAATGCTCTTAACCACATCGCATCCGACAAGCCTCAGGTGCAGACAATATCAATGTCTCAGAAGAATATGGACTAGGCCTGGTTGCTAACTGCAACATGGGAGGATATAACATTGCTCAGAATTTATTTTCCTGTAAACATTCAACAATCTCTACAGCTAGTGCTTCTCCAACAGGGGAACAAACTTCAGTAGCAACCTATCGTTGTCTATGATGAGGCTGCCAAATTTATTTAAATATTGCGGACACGAACAATAAATTGCACAATTTATTGCCAGGCATATTTCGCTGTTATCTCATCAGGTGCCTTACTACACTAAGTTATGTATAGCACAAACAGAAACTGAATCCTTTCCTCCCCATTGTGGGGGGGAAACAAGAATAGACTAACAAAGCTAACAAAGAGCTGCCTGTATAAGTTGGAGTATATCTGCCCGAGTGGCAAAGAACCAGCTGCACACAAATAAGTCAGTAAAACATGTACATACACAACTCAGGCCCTGGCACAAAACCAAAGTCCAGATGGACAAACAACCAGGACTTCTCACCGGAGCTTAAGGCTGGTGAACAAAGAAGAATCCTTTCCACTGAAATACAAAAATTGCAGTGTCTTCTTTATATACATTGTTCACCTCACAGCTGGAAGTTAAAGATGGTCATGTGATTACAGCAGCAATTTCAAATTTACCACGCACTCTTTTTGTCTGCACAATGCAGAATTGATTACTTTTATCCTAACAATTTCAACTAACTTGAGTATGGTAAATAACAAGGAAGGCATGGTCTCTATTAGTTACCTGCTTGAACTCAAGAAAATGACATCCTATAGAAGAGTTGGCTTCTTTCCTGGTCTTGGGATTATTTTATTTAGCTTGAGGCAATCATTAAAACATAAATACTTTCAGACAAGCAATAATATATGCATAATAATGATAATATAAACATTAACTGTGAACACAAATATAAACATTATCTGTGAATATAAATATAAACATTATCTGTGTACATACTTAAAACAACCCTGTCCTGGACAAATCAGTAAATGCTACCAAAAAAATAATAAATATAGTGCAATAATAATAATAATATTTAACAATATGGCACCAAAACAAAAGTACATCTTTTTGTGTGTGTAGAAACAGCAGACATGGCAGAAAATAAAAATGCAGAAAATTAATGACAGTATATCAATAAAACAAAAATCAACAACTATTCAAGGTGAGAAAATGTGAGAACAATATAACTATAATCACTCTGCACTGGAGTCAACATGGTCACAGGAATAAAGGCAGTTCAAAATAAAAGAAAAGAAAAAAAAAAGGGGGGGGAAGGGGGGGGGGGGGGGGAATCAACAGTGAAGAAAAAAAAAAAAAAAAAACAGGAGGACATGGAGAGAGCTGCATGCTAGACAAGGGACAAGAATATTTTACGTGAGTTAATTGGAAGCCTGTGCTTAATTTGTAGTTTGTTTTTAAAAAGGGGTTGGGGGGGGGGGGGGGGGGGAAGAGTGTTATACAGACGTGCATCTGTGCTGGTGACTCGGAGAGTATGCAATGTGATCAGGTCGCCCTTGTGTGACTGATGGTAGACTAACCACCAAGGGAGATAGCTGTGTGCAATTAAAGTGATCTAAAAAACAATGCACACAATCCTTGAATGTGAATGAAACCGCAAACCTGCAAATGTTAATGAAATATACAAGTTATGAAACAAATCACTGGGGACTTCACATATCAAATATAATCAGA